TCAGGATATTATACCTATTTAATAATATGTATTGCTAATTATGTAAGAATTATGTTTTTACTATATCCATTGTTAGTTCTGTTTATTCTTTATTAATTATTGTAAACTGGAGGATTTGTTGTCATTTCTAATGTTGCAAACCACTCTCTTATCGTTTAATTAAGATACAACATCGAATAGCAAAAACTTTATACAAATATTTATTAAATATTAAGGTAAACAAAAAAACAGGCATAACGAGGTCCCACTGGCTTGCCTTACATTTTCCCTCCAGAATGCACATTCAGTTGCATCCCCGCCAAAAGTTACTTTTGTTACGATAGGTATCTTACCTGTGAAGAAGGGCTGAGGAATTTTTTTCGATTTATAATCTAAACGAGTTTTCGTTTATGGGATCGGAATTTGGGAAGAGAACTATGAAAGTTAATACTAAGAATACCAAAAAAATTACTAATTGGCTCATATAGAATGCTAAGTACATAATTATTATTATACATAATAACTGGCATACGTATATGCATATTAAAATTCTTTAAAAAAAAAGTAAGTTCACGAGTGCTGAAACAGAAAAAAAAACAAAATAAATCGAGGTCCTTGCCTTTACCACTTCTTAAACGTTTTAATAAATGCCCATGACTTTACTTACTCATTGTGAATATAAACAATACTCATATACACCTGATAATATAACAGAAACGTGATCCCTCTAATCACTTTCCCGCGCTTACATATTTTGCTATTCTCACTTTCCCACCAAATCATTGTACATGCGAAGCACATTTTTTCTATTTAACAAAGTATGCGCCATTATGATATAAGAAGACGATACAATGATCTTTAAACTACATACATAATATTTGCATTGTTTAATAAAATTCTGGGATTTAACATAAACCTTAAAAAATGCAATGGGTATCATTTCGCGCTCTTGGCAATCGAAAAAATACAGGACCGTCCGGACAGTACAGTATTGACAGTAATACAAATCTATCACGTAGTCTAATAATAAGAAGATAATATTAATAACAATATCACAGTAAGCAGTGAATTAGAAGCAGGGCTTTCTGATTGCAAGTGGCTCATTGGCCTGATAGTTATCCAATTTTGATGCTAACCCATTTCTTAATAACTTACATATAACATTCGTAGGGTTATAGGTCATTTCTTTGGATCTTTTCATTTATATATAACATTATTGCTTCATTTATGTTATTAGGTATCTTTTTCTCTTACAAGACCTATACAGCTCTAGAACACCATGCCATGGAGGAAAGACTGGGAGTTTCCACAGTATTGACCAAAAACAATTTTGTGCCAGGGTGACACCGGCTAACAGAAGCTGTTTCAGTCTACTACCCTTCTTCAAATCCAGAGTTATCTATAAAAACACAAATAAGATCCTGTACCTTAGCTGATCCGTCCAGTATTGATTTATGAAAGCGAGGAGTGAACTATGTCCAACTAGAAAAATCTTCAGAAATATGTATGTGCTAGTTAGAGATGGTGAAGTATTAAGGTTAAAAAGAAATCAGGAACTGCAGCTTTTGTTTGGAAAACCAGACTTGATGACTGAAATAAAGAAAGAGCGGATAAAGTGGGCTGGTCACGTACAGATAGCGGTGAGGAAAGAATCGTAAAGAAAGTGTTTCTGGGTGGTCCTGAGGAAGAAGGAGTAGAGGAATACTCCGATTCAGATGGATAGACGATGTGCAAAATGACGTCGTAAGGCATGTCTTGCGAAGGCTGTTTTTCCGTGGGGTAAAGAAAGGTAACGTATATTTTCTAGTTAAGTTTTCGAAACAATTAGACGATTTTTTCCTAATAATTTGTTATTCAACATGCTATTTGTTATATATGTTTTGGCTTAGTTCATGCAATATTCCATACATATCTTTCTTTCTTTTTCCATGCTTCTTCCTATGAGATTATCTGGTTACTCTATGTATAATTCGTTTGTGTCACATCTTATTCCCGAATTTCGAATTCATTTAATTTCTTGTTTTAATAATTTACAATCTTCATATTATTCAAACATTTATTTGATTTATTTAATATTTATTTAATTTAATCTTAGGAAAAGATGTTTAGTCTTGATAATAATCTATTGAGGAAGAAGGTGAAGACCAGATGCTTATACTAAGGATTTTAGCTTTCTATAAAACATGTTTTCCTTTCTACAACAGGTTTTCTTGCCTAATGAAATGTTTGCGCTTTGATTATGTAAATATTCGCGAGATAAAAAATCAAACAGCTTTGTGGTAAACCCAGAATTTTTTTAAACTGTTTAACAATAATTAACTATAATCTTGTAACAATTTCACCATATATACGTAACTTCTAAAATTACGAGAAGGCTATATTATTCAGCAAAACATTTGAATATAATCGGGCCATATAGTTTACAAAAGTTTGCATTGTGAGAGGTGAAAACATTTTACCATTAAAACAGACATATTCATCTACAAATTTAAGGATCTTACGGAGTCAACTATAAGCCAAACTAAACAGTTATGCGGTTATGTACATAGACTTACTTAGAATTCTACCGGTAGCGTAAGAAGTTTAAAAATAAAATGCTGTTTAGAAAATAATAAACTTGTCACAACTGCTATAAATAAGTATGGATATCATAATATTTGACCAAATAACTGTAAAACGCAGTATTTGGAAGATATGTCTTCGTTTATCATTGAGGTTTCGTTTCGTTTCGTTTCGTTTAGAGTCACTAGATCATCTACAATTATTTAAATTATTTGAATCAACCACAATTTGACTCACTCTTAAAGCATCAAAGCCAAAAATCACTGCATTTTTTACAGTGGTCCTGGTATTCTTAGTTTCACCAACTATAGTTGAATTTTTGAAAATCTCTTTTGATTAACTCGTTTTGAGCTAAAAAGAACGCTAGCGATCGAAAATTAAAGAATTATTTATATATTTAATGGAACTATAAACATTACTATATAAGAAAACTTTTATTGGAAGCAGAAAGCAATCATACAAGTCGATGGGATATTAACCGACGAATGTTACATTCAAAGAGGAGTCAGATAGGAATGCATTCTATTCCCGCTATTATTTAATATCTACTCGGGTATAATTTTCAAACAGGCTTTGCATGATAAAGACTTTAAATTGAAAATAATGGTGAACTGAATAATAATCTTATATGCTGACGACACTGTTATCTGATGCAATATTCTCCAGGGATATCAAGAGTTTTTGGATTCTAAGAGAAATGAGTCTAAGAATGAATCTTTCTAAGGCAAAATTCATGATATTTAGTCTTTAACCTCACGAGAATGCTTTGCTACAGATATAATAACAAAACATTCAGGGAGTTATTCACTTCTGGAATGCTACATTACAGACCAACCAGACCCAAGTCAAGACATCAAATGCAGAATTAAAGTAGCTGCACAACGTTTCTAAAAATGAAATAATTCTTTTACCCTGAACAGCAATGCAGACCAACGAAGCTGTGCTAAATAGAGCAAATGCCTTCGTGAGTTATTGAAAACTAATAAAATAGGAAAAATTCCATAACTAGACATGTTCTTAGAGGAAACACGTACAGATTAGCAGTGACGAACAACTGTTCCCATTAGTTAAAGACCATGAACAACTCGCCAATGTAATTGCCAACATTAGGGGGACCTAATGGCACTGAAAGGAAAAAAAGATAAAAATACATTAGAAATTAAGAAAATGTACTATGTTGTTATGTAAATATCACATTCTCCTATTGGATATTAGGCTGCAACTTATATTAATCCTGTCGGATATTTATAAGGCAAGAAATCCCTTCTCTTCTACTTCTTCTTCTGTTTGAATTACTTATTGTTTTTATTCATTCTTCACATTGCCTCATAATAACATTGTTTCTAGTGCTGGTGTTATATATCTATTAGTGAATATTTTTTCATTTTCATTAATGCGGCTTGGTAAAGACCAACCATACTTTTTAATCTGCATTTTTACATAATCTGTCTGTTGTTATGCACTTTGCCCATTTTACAGAGATGGTAGTTGCAATAAGAAGGTTGTATGTAGCTTTTTGGTATATTGCAGAATGTTTCTGTTCCGATGCAAGAAGTATTAGCCCTTGCGTTTGGACATTGTTAACCATGCACCAATTTACTTTTCTGTAGCTGTTATTGTATTGTATTTCTATTATTATATTAGAAACTGCATAAATTAAAATTTATCCATATATGTTTAATTATAGTCTATAAATCATTTTCGCTGTCTGCACTTTTTTCTTGTAGGCAATCGTTACAGATGTATAGAGCCTAAAGGTAATTTATCAGCAACTTTTGCATTTATTATGATGGCTTATATTCGTTCAAGTACAGCTTCCTGGAATATGGCTTCACTGTATATATTAAATTGTATGAGCAACGCATAGGTATAGAAGTGCATTTCAAATGGGAGATTTGGTCACGGTTATGTTTCAAAATACTTCTGTAGAGGGCGACTGCATAAATTTAATTACATTATTGTAGATTTCTACACATTTAAATTGAAAATTTGAATCACAATATTGTGAATAGTTCTAAAAAGATTCGCTTATTAAAAAGTATTAAAAGTTAAAATACTGTTTTATTTTCTAAGTATGATTTGATTCAAATTTTATAAAATGTATATATATATATATATATATATATATATATATATATATTATAATATTAGATATATATCATGGAAATACACTGCACAGACTTTTCTGATTTCTGTTAGTACTTTTATTTCTTCTTATAATTTATTCTCTATTTATTTTACTTTTATATTTAATATATACATCCAAATACGATTAAAATTGTATTATAATAACGAAATATAATATTTATTTTAGAATAATTTAATGATATTTTAAATTTATAATTATATTTTCTTAGTACGGCTCTGAGGCAGCCCTCAAAACCGGTAAGGGTACAATCCCCACTCTCCCATTGAAACTACGTGTGGGACAGACCAGTTTACAGTTCCGTTGCTTTGATGCGCAGAATGAACGTTTTATAGCCATCTTATTTTTCAGTTATCGTTTAGATTCTGAAGTGGTAACTAGTGAGTTGGGAGTGAGATTCAGTTATTATTTAGGTTGTTATCTGATACAATTATTAATTTTAAACACAATTTTAAAATGTGGGATTCTTTTACTATTGATGAGTGTCAAACATGTCCGTATACTAGGTAATTTTTTCTCTCTTTCGTCTTTATAACTCAACAGACATATCAATACCAACTGACCTTTAATGTCAGTTGGCCCTTTGTTTGTGTACATAATTATTAAATTATGAAATACATACTTACTTTTTTTAAATATTAGGTAAATAATTGATTATAAATAGTGATAATGAACTTTAAATAGTTACTTTATGGCTTAATGTATTTCACAAATAGGTCATACTGGTCCAAAACATAGGAATGTGACCGTTATTTCCCACCAAGGTGCAGTTCTCTGAAAGACACTCAGCTGGTTGAATGTTGAATAATTAAAATAACATCAAATTACAAAAAGGATATTATGTTCGCGCGGTTTTTTATGGAAGTGTCTTATTGCCCAAAATTGTAGTGTGCCATTTTTATACAGGGATGTAACGAATATTCCACTGAATGAAGTAGTTTATTAAAAAGTGTGCTACAACTAATATTATAAAATCATTTGATAAAATATAAGTAAAAAATTCGAAAAACAGCTGAGAAAATATCGTTAATATTACAAATTATTCTTGTAAAGCCTATTTATATGCTTATCTATTTTATATATTTATATCTTTCCGGGAATAAACACAGTGGTGATGCAAATTATATGTGCCAAGGACATTCATATTAGAAGATTTCGTAATAAAATAACGATTTAAGATTACGATTCCAGTGCAAAAATTGGTCAAGTTAAACAATCTTTGTTTGGTTCTAATTTAGGAGTAGTTAATTGTAAACAGTTTTTATCAAAATAACTTCCCGCAAAATAAAACCTGACCTTTAGTTTGTTATTTGTTGAGATAAATCTTCTTGGCTGCTATATTTATATTAATAAAAGAGTTATCATTCAGGATGTGGTGAAATTTTGATTTCAGTTTGCTATATAATAATATAAAAAGAATGTATGAGGTAATTTTGTTATAACTTATATAAATACAAACAGGAAAATACTGACTATAGATAATATCCTCACTTTTATATCTCTATACAGTAAATAACAAGGAAACAACTTTGAGGTTCATATTTTAAATTTATATCATGAAACATTTTAACTGAATTATACTAACATTATAGATAGAACATAAGAATAATAAGATAGTACATAGAATAAAAGCCAATAAGAGTCTTTATGATATCCAATAATATATTTTGAATGGTTTTCTTTTTTGATAGCAGCTATTAGTCATCTCATACTTCTAATAATGTTCTTTATCTAACCGTATCTCAGTACATTTCTTCATCCAAGTTTGTCGTCCTTTGTTTTTCCTACGTCTCTGATTATTCCAGTCGTCGAAGAGGCGAAAATGCCACTTAACCCCAAAAAACCATAGGAACCAGCTGACTTCTGCTGAGAATGTTAATTTTGGTGCCCCAACAAAAAGGATGTAAATAAGTTACCTTTTTTTACTCCCCGGCTTCCCCCTAAAACGCCCCCTTGTAGAGGGGGAAAACGGAAAAATCGATTTTGAACCGTTTTCTCAGAAACCAGGCTTAAAGCAACCAGCGATTTTGAATGTCAGTTGGCGCGTGAAGTCAAATAAAAATGTTTTTTAAAAGTGAAGAGTGCTGCTTTAGTATGCAGTTTTTGTATTTTGCCGCAAATGAAAGCAGCACTCTTCATTTTTAAAAAGCATTTTGTTTTTTTGTCGATATGACACTTTTATCAAAAGAATAAAAATTCTACCGTTGAATAAAAAATGCTTCTATCAGTTCTTCACTTACTTGCTTCTTCTTTAGGCTTCCCCATCTATCTTTTCTTTTGACTGAATTGAATGCTTTTTCCATATCTATAAAGCTCAGATATATTTCTCTATTTATCTTTAAGGCTTTTTCTATTACTTGTTGCATGGTGAATATATGGTCTTGTGTGTTATGTCCTTTCCTGAATCCACTTTGTATGTCCTCTAATTTTTGTTCTATTTCTTTTCTGATTTTCATGTATTGATACACATTTGGGCGCGTAAATGACATTTAAACTTGCTAGTTGCTTCAAGCGTTGTTTCTCAGAGAACTTTTTTGTTTTTCCCCTGTACGAGAGAGCGTTTTAGGGAAAGCTGGGAAGTAAAAGTAGTAAACTTTTCTGCATCTTCTTTGGGTTCCAAAATTTACCCTCTCAGCAAAATTCAGCTTTACTCAGAAAATCTCTGACGACTAGACTATATGTTAAGATTACTGGGAGTTTCCAATTAGCGCTGCTCTCGGTAGCCGCCCCTCCTTCATTCGCACCACGTGTCCATATCATTCTTCTTCATTGGGTGCCGTCTTCAATGAAGGTTGGCGATAACCTCAGTAAAATCATTTCTGTCCCTGGCTTTTCTTATTAAATATTGAGAATCCAAACCAGTCTACTCACGAATGTTCTTCAACCAGGACGCCTGCCGTCTACCAGGACCACGTTTTTCTTCTACCTTCCCCTCTATAAGAAGCTGCAGTAGCTGGTATTTCTCATTTCTGTATATGTGTCCCAAATATGAGGTTTTCCGTGTTTTCATTATTTTTAAGATTTCTCTGTCGGTACCCATCTTGTGTAGGACCTGCTCGTTGCTCATATGCGCTGTCCAGGGGACTTTCAGCATCCTTCGAAATAACCACATTTCAAAACTTTCCAAACGCCTGAGTGAGTTGATTTTGAAGGTCCAGGCCTCCATTCCATATAGTAAGGTGCTGTAAACGTAACATTTCAGCATTCGTTATCGGGTTTTGAGATTGAGTGTTTGGGACGTAAACATTTGTTTCATTTTTAAAAAGACATTTCTTGCTTGTTCAATTCGCGATTTTATTTCTATGTCTGGATCTATATCTTTCGTTATCCAGCACCCTAGATATCGAAATTTCTCGACATTTTCGATAATGTTACTATTCACATTTAAAGCCATGGGTGGATGGATGGATGTTTTGGAGACAATCATTGTTTTTGTTTTCTTAACGTTAATGCTGAGGCCGTATTGTTCTCCGATCGATCTGACGCGATCTAAGAGTTTCTGGAGATCCTGTGCGCTCTCTGCAATTTGGACCGTGTCGTCGGCGTATCGTACATTATTTAGAACTCTGCCGTTAATTTTAACACCTTCTCTTGATTGCTCTAGTGCTCGTGCAAAGATTTCTTCCGAATATATATTGAAAAGTAGTGGTGACAATACACACCCCTGTCGTACACCTCGCTTGATATTTGCATCCATATCATTACACTTGTTTATTTTTCCACATCCTCTCTAATTGTCTTTTCGAACTTTTACTATGATTTATTTTATATCTCGTTTGAATATTCTACGTGATCTTCGCCATATGACCGTCTTCAGAGTGACTCTTTAAACTCTGTTTATATTCTTTCTTTGGTTTCCTGTCTGTCTGTCCCTTCTTCACTGTTTATGTTTATATTTTGTTTTGTTTAAGTCCATTCTCAGCCCTCCTATTTGGTATTTCTCTGTTAGTTTCGGCATGTATTCTAAGTCGTCTTCGCCATGGGCCAAAATAATATGTTTTCTGCGAATTGTATTGTATACCCATTGCAAGACATTCTTTCTTTCAGTTTATTACCCCATATTCTTTATATATTTTGAATAAAGTTAAGGATAAAGCCCTGTTGACGCGTTTGGCATTTATTTTTTTTATACTTTATATTCTTTATTTGTCCTTTCCATTGCTTCGCATGTTGTCATTGTCATATTCTTTCTGTCCATAAATATTGGATGGAGGTTTCTTCATGTATTTACTTTTTTATTTAATTATTTGTTTTAAAGTTAATGGATCATCACACGGTCGCTTCCGGTCGCCTTCACATTCTTTTTTTATTTCTTTTTGCCTTTCCGCCTTTTCCAAATTTTAAAACTTAATGTTAATTCCACTGGTTGTGTTGATTTCTTTGTATTGTATTTATATATTAAATCATACAGCACTGGAAAAAACTACCAGTACTTATAAGTCTATTTAAATACACATTTTTATATATTTTTTCCTAAAATATTTATCTGTTTATCCTTCTTCTCTCTGGAATTACAGTCCGGAGTGGATTTTTGCTGACTTAACAATCTGCCTCCACTTGCAACGGTTCATAATTAGTTTCTTAGTATTAAGATCGCGTAAATCTGCTGCAATGGTATCTCTCCATTGCATCATTGGTCTCCCTAGCGGTCGCTTTCCTTCCGAGTTCCTTCCCAGACCAGCTTTACGACACGCTTATCTTGTCTCTTGTTATGGCCCGCCCATTATAATTCTTCCAATTCTCGGTTCATTCTCACACTGTATAGCTCTGTGGTGTTATCCTTAACCGGTCCATATATTCTTCCAAGAATTCTTATTTTTGCGACTCATAATCGTTTTTCATTTTGTTTTGTTGGTATTGTCCATGTTTCACTTGCTTAGGTTATTGTAGATCTTATGTCTAAATGCTAAATTCTTATTTTCGTATTGTAGAATACATTGTTTTGATAACGTGAGAAGTGATAGTAGCTCCCAAATATTTTAACTGATACCGCTTTCAAACATCTTCTGGTCCATTGTCACGTTCTGCCATATTCTGCCTCATCGTTCTGTTCTTGTTGTAGCCATATATTTTGTGTTATCTTATTCCAATTTCTTTTACTGCATTTTCCAGTTTAATGAAATCTTCTTTGACCTAATAGTTGTACTTCCCACTAGATCCATATTTAAAGAGATGTTAAAGAGTGGGGATAAGACACTTCCCTGTAGGGCCACTATTTATTGTAAAGGTCGGCAGTTTTCCTTCAAGTCTTACTGCGCTTCTAGATCCTTCTATTTTGTGAGATTAATTAATTTCTTCGGTTAGTTCAGTGCTTAGTTCAGCCATGGCATATCACTTTAGTCTCCCCAGTAACCAAGTTACCTTGGTCATTCTTTATGACAGTTCCAACTCTTGGTTGAAACCACTTTTTTATAGTTTTTACTTCCGACGGAAATGTCTACCCCAGAATTTCTTGATGCCTATCTTAACGTAAAATGTGTAACTTTTATTGTCCAATTTTCGTCCA